GATGTGAGGCCCGTGAGTAAGCTGAGCTGGTTGGGCAGCGATGTGATGCCGGAGCCACCCAGCGACCTGGAGGAACCAAAAGGGGATGCAATGCAACACGCGATGCAATGCAGCGCATGCCAAGGCATGGACGAAAAGGTGTGTGTGTGTGTGTGTGTGTGTGTGTGTGTGTTTGTGAGTATATGTGTGTGTGTGAGTGTGTGTGTGTGTGTGTGTGTGTGTGTGTTCGCGCACGCATGTGTGAGTGTTCGCGTGCACGCATGTGTGTGTGTTCGCGCACGCACGCGTGTGTGTGTATGCGCGTGCATGCGTGCTTGCTCGCATGTGTGTGTGGGTGTGTGTGTGGCGGTTGGTGTGGCGGTGGGTGTGGCGAAGCAACAGCATCAGGACAGTGGTGAGGAAGTCGGTTGACAGTGGGTGAATGGAGAATAAGAAGCATGGGTGCACGGACGAGGTGCAGCACTGCTGGCAAAGGCTGGCGTGGCGTTGTATGGGGTATTGTGAGGTGTGGGACTGCATGGGACGATGGGATGGTATGGTGAGGCATGGCATGGCATGACACGGACTTGTGTGAGAATCCAATTATGGCATGGTACAGCATGGCTTTGCATGGCATGACACATCACTGTGTATGGCATGTTAGTGTGGTATGACATGGCATGATATTACATGGTATGGCATGGCATGGCGGCATGGCATGGCATGGACTGACAAGTGCTTGAGGCCTGTGAAGGAGAGAACGAGAGGCAAGTCCTCAAGTGTGCTGTTGCTCAGCCCTCTGAGAGAGGGGCGCATGGCAGGGCATGGCAGAAACAGGACAGAACATCATACGGGATGCCATGTAGGGGGTAACAAGGTAGGGGGTGACATTATATGGGATGAAATGGTAAGGGGTGACACGGTACTGGGTAGGATTGAGCAATAGTTCGGTACAGGGTCGAACCCCTGTTCGGTTCGACTCGAATTTCATTTGGGTCGAGGTTATTTTATGCCCAACAAAGATGCTCGGCAATGTTGATAGTGTTATGGGCGATGCTAACTGTGTGATGGACGATGCTAACTGTGGTCCGCGTGAGGTGACGGGGGCGATACTGACAGGAAGGAGAGAGAGCGCAAGTTTGAGATGGTGTCAGGTAGGGGCACCAAAATTGTGTTGCCTCTGAGGTCACTGCGAGGAGGGAAGGAGGACAGGAAGGGAGAGGATTTGAGAGACTAGCAGGAAACACGAAGAGGGAGGAGGGGATGCATGGGACGGACGGGGTCGGAAAGAGAAAAACGGAGAATGGGGAAGGGATGGGGAAGCATGGGAGCAAGGTTCTTATAGATGCTATAGAGGCTCATGAGTCATGAACTGTGAGTTTTTATAAGTTTTTTTTGTTTTTTTTTTGTTTTTTTTTTTGCCTAGAACAAGATGTGTCATGAGCTTACAGATGTTCTAAGCGTGACATCAGTGTGACGTGCCATGGAACTGCACTTTCAAACTCGTTGTACGAGAGGTCCCTGGGGACAGGGGGGGAGCGGACGGTGGGATGGAGATGCATGCGGGAGAGAGAAAAGGAGAAGGGAGGAGTATGCCATATGATGGGGATGGGGATGGGGACGGGACGGGACGGGACGGGACGGCACGGGACGGGACGGGACGGGACGGGACGGCACGGGACGGGACGGGACGGGACGGGACGGGACGGGACGGGACGGGACGGGACGGGACGGGACGGGACGGGACGGGATGGGATGGGACGGGATGGGATGGGCCGGGATGGGATGGGACGGGATGGGATGGGATGGGACGGGATGGGATGGGATGGGACGGGATGGGATGGGATGGGATGGGATGGGATGGGATGGGATGGATGGGATGGGATGGGATGGGATGAGATGGGACTTGAGCAGTGATGATGGCATGGTAACCCATGGGGAGGTAGGTAGTGCGGTGCGGTGCGGTGTGGTGGATGCATGGGCATCATGTGTGTGTGCGTCCACGTAAGTGACAACACGTGAGAAGAGGGTTGGGCAGTCAAATAAGTTATGGTATGCTCACAGGTATCTGATATCATTAAAATAGAAAGATGGCAAATCCTCGAAGTTGCCATCAAGCTGGTTGTGCGACAGGTCCCTGTTGCGCTCGTATCGTATGGCGTGGTGTGGCGCGGTGCAGGGAAAGAGGAGGGAAAGAATAGGGAAAGAGGAGGGAAAGAAGAGGGAAAGAGGAGGGAAAGAAGAGGGAAAGAGGAAACGAAGAGTACGCAATGAGGAGGCAAAGAGGAAGAAAGAGGTAGAGCGAGCAGTGGAGGCAAAGAGGGGACAACGAGGAGGCAGCGAGGTGAAATAGATTGTAGAGAAACAGGGCGAGTGAGAAGTGACAAATGAGGCAGTTCCATTCATGGGCAGGGAGGGGATGAGAGCTATCATATGACACGAACAAAGATGGGTTTTGATTGGATGGGACGGGATGGGATGGGATGGGATGGGATGGGATGGGATGGGATGGGATGGGATGGGATGGGATGCGATGGAAAAAGCCAGAGCACAGCAGCATTCGCAAAGGCGGGGAGGACGATTACACCAGAGCCCAAGAAAGGAATGCCAAGGCCTTGCCATGAAAAATGCACTGGCCTGGATAGGGTTGTCGTCGCCAGGCAAGGCAACACTGCTGAGCCAACAACTGTAACCAGAACAAAACAACTATACACAAAAAAGCTGCGGTGGCAAGTGCAATGGAAAACCCCTCTGTGTGAACAATGGTTCCCAGCTCAACGTTCAAGGTGCAGGAGGCAGGCAGGGAGAGATCATTCAAGGTGGTGTGTGAAGCAAGGGAAGGAGAGTTAGCGGGAAAGAGAGCAGAGACTCACAGCACTTGAAGAGAAGTGGCGCCTGCAAACTCTTCTGAAATTGATCCTTTGAGCTGGTTGTGGCTGACGTTGCTGCAGGATGGGCACGACGGCAGCAGCAGCAGCGGCAGAAGCAGTGGCAGAAGAAGCGGCAGAAGCAGCGGCAGAAGCAGCGGCAGAAGCAGCGGCAGCAGACAAGAGGTGCAGATGAAGCAGGAGGGCGATAGCCAGGGATCCCAAGTGATGAGCCGGGGTACAAGCAAAAGCACGACAAAAGATAAGAGAGAACGCTATCGGGGACCAGAGTTGGAGATAGTCTAAGAAGGTAGCTTACGCGAAAGTGAGGAGAGAAAATCTGCCCAGAAAACCTGGGAAATTGTCAGTGAAAAGGTTGTTGCTGAGTGACCTGCAGCAGACAGACGGGGATGTAAAGAGGAAGGAAAGAGGCATCAGTTACCGCACAGGCCCTTCCTGCTGCCTCACTGATAGGCACCTGAGAGCTTGACTTGACACGGACACACACAACAAAGGGGAGCAGGAAGGGTGCAGTGGGGAGGCATGCAGGGAGATTGATGGTGGGAAGAGAGAGAAGGAGGGAGGGATAGCTGAAGATTTTGTAAGAGCATCTGCTGGCTAGTCGCAAGCAGAAGAGGAACAGGATGGTGAGATCATGGGCCCATCAACACATGCACACATGCACACATGCATACATGCACACATGCACACATGCACACATGCACACATGCACACATGCACACATGCACACATGCACACATGCACACATGCACACATGCACACATGCACACATGCACACACATGCACACATGCACACATGCACACATGCACACACATGCACACATGCACACACATGCACACATGCACACACATGCACATTCGGGCATTTTCTAACAAAAACAAACAGGAAGGGAGAGGGAGGGAGAGAGGGAGAGAAAGGGAGAGAAGGGAGTGGGGTGGGTGAAAAGGAGAGAGGGAGGGAGGGAGGGGAGGGAGGAGGGGAGGGAGGAGGGGAGGGAGGGAGGGATGGAGGGAGGGAGGGAGGGAGGGAGGGAGGGAGGGAGGGAGGGAGGGAGGGAGGGAGAGAGGGAGGGGGGGGGGGGAGGGAGGGAGGGAGGGAGGGAGGGAGGGAGGGAGGGAGGGAGGGAGGGAGGGAGGGAGGGAGGGAGGAAGGGAGGGAGGGAGGGAGGGAGGGAGGGAGGAGGGGAGGGGAGGGAGGGAGGGAGGGAGGGAGGGAGGGAGGGAGGGAGGGAGGGAGGGAGGGAGCGAGGGAGGGAGGGAGGGAGGGAGGGAGGGAGGGAGGGAGATAGGGTGGTGCTGACAGCGATCTCAGGCTTGTGAGCTGTGTGAGTTGTTGTACTGGCAGAGCACCCGGAAACGCATTGTCGTTGAGGCGACTGATGGGTGAGGGGGGAATGAGATTGGGATTGAGATGAGATGGGATGGGATGGGATGGGATGGGATGGGATGGGATGGGATGGGAGGGGACGGGACGGGATGGGATGGGATGGAATGGGAAGGGATGGGATGGGATGGGATGGGATGGGATGGGATGGGATGGGACGGGACGGGATGGGACGTGATGGGTACAGCACCAAGGAAAGAGTTAGAAGCAAGAGCAGGTGGTAAGGTCTGCCAGAAGGAGAAGCTGCTCGCTCTACCTATTGCTGCTGCTCTCATGTGAATCACCAACTGCTGCTGCTCACAGGTGTGCAAGATTGACCATGCCCTCCACGTTAAACGTCATAAGATCGCCATCCAGCTTGTTGTACGACAGGTCACTGTGCCGCCCAGACGGAAACAGGTGAAGAGATTGTGCAGGTGCGGCCGAGCAGGAGGGCGGAAGGGGTGGGGGAAGAGGGGGAAGGAGGGAGATAGGAGGGGGGGAGGAGGGGAGAATGGAAAAGAGGTGGGAGAGATGGAGCACATCAGGGAGTGACTGAACAGCAATAGCCCTCCTGTGCACGTACTCCGGTCGTGTTGCATACGGAATCTGGTTCTAGGTAGGTGCTGTGCCTAGGTAGAGTGAGTAAGTGGAGTTTGTGGGTAGGTGCTCTATGCACGCATCTCATCTCTCATGTGGAGTGGAACGTGGGTGGGAAATGGGCCCGGGTGCACACAACAGGTAGGAGCAGCACGGGCATCGCACGCACAATGCACATGAAAGAGCAGCACCAGACCCGCCTCGTTCTTGAGCAGCTAACACCTCGTCCTGCCTCTTCCTGCCACCACTGCCGCCACTGCTACCTGCCAGCCGCCACTGCTGCTGCTACCCGTGCATGCACATGGCACGTGCTGTGCTTACAGAGCAGTGAGGCTGGTGAGTGAACTCCACATCCCCGGCATGCTGCCACCCAGATAATTGCGAGAGAGGTTCCTGTGGCGACGCATAGAGAGGCAAGTTGGTGTGAATGGAGGCATGGAGGCAAAGCACAGATGGGGTGGGATGTTGGTTGGAAACATGATGTTAAGAGCAAGGAAAGGAGCAGTATCTAGCAGGCACAGGGATGGGAGTGATTGACAGGTTGAGGGTTGATGGACTGTGCTGGAGAATTTGGTTTGGTGTTCAAATCTCTCACGTACGTTCACTGACGAACATACGAAATAAGTGATCGATATGCTACATACGGGCAGCCCAGGCGGAAAAGAAGAAGTAACTCTATTGTTTTCGGGCGTTTCCGCAGAGTGTGAAACCCTATGCTCAAGTTTGAAATTCGAATGTAGCCAAACCCAACCCCCCCTCTCCCCATACCCTCCCCCAACCGCACACCACCTCACACCACTCCCAAACCCAAACTTTACCAAACTTAAGCAACCTCCACTCACTTGGAGGATTAGTATGAATGAGTAGAAGGGCCAGGAGGACAGGATGAGGAGGAGGAGGAGGAAGAGGAGGAGGAGGAGGAGGAGGAGGAGGAGGAGGAGGAGGAGGAGGAGGAGGAGAGGGGGGCGAGGGAGTAAAGGGCGTAGCCTCGTAGGTAGGGCAATGCTGGAGAGTATAGGGTACACTACTCCTTACAGGTCGGTACGGTACGTACCTTGGATTAGGTGCTGTGCATGAGAATTTGCGAATATTTAACTGAATCTAATATATACATACAGACATTATATATATATATACTATATATATACATATATATATACACATGTATGCATGCATACATATTTTAAACTCGAATGTGCCCAACAAAAGAAACCCCTCCACCCTCGGCATCAAGGTTTTTTCGCCGCTGCCGTACTTTCTCATCCCTCCACAGCCCATATACTGAATATATCGGAGCACGGAATTCAAGCGTACTGCATGTATTACAAAAGCACGAGCTCGAACAAACTATTCGCAACACGTGTATATTCCAAGTTCCAACGTAGGGTGGAAAGGCAAGATAGGCGGGAGCAGTGGACTCACAAGGTTTTGAGGCTGCTGAGCACAAACCATGAGTCGGGAAGTTCTCCAGAGAATAAATTGTTGCTCATATCCCTGCCATGGCACAGGCACAGGCACAGGCACAGGCACAGGCACAGGCACAGGCACAGGCACATGCACAGGCCAAAGGGCAGGGTCGAGAGTTTTCAGTATGGGACCAAAGACGAAAATGATGATGTGCACATGGAGACAGACAGATGCCCAGACAGGGTATTCCAGACAAACAAACACAACACCAAGGTAATCCAGGAAGAGTGTTAACTAAGGTTCGGTTCAGAAACTGAGGTTCACCGTTCACGCACAGCACAGGTGCTCCAGGCCCGTGAACAGGCTGTAGTCACGTGGTAGATTACCATTAGTCGGCTCGTACATATTGGAGTGTTAACCTAAGGTTTAGTTTGGACGGTGAGGCTAAGCTAAGGTCTAGGTTAGGCGGTGAAGTTCACGCACAGGTACTCCAAGCTGGTAAACTCGCTGTAGTCAAGTGGTAGATTATATAGTCGACTCATTATAGGAGTGCTAAGCCACGGCTTAGTTTAGACGGCGAGGTTCACGCACAGGTGCTCCAGGCTGGTAAACTTGCTGTAGTCAAGTGGTAGAAACCCATAAATCTTGTTTCCGGAGAGAGTACTGCCGCGGGGAGAGGGATTAGGGGATGGTGCTGTGCTGAGGAATGGAGGAGAGGAGATTCAGTTGTGTTGGTCGGAGGAGCATTGCTGAACGAACGCAGAAGGAGAGCACCACGCATGCATGCGCATGAACACACCCACACACACAGGCACGCACGCACGCACGTGCACGTGCACACACACGCTCACGCACACACGCAGAACATGCGAATAAGCGAATACAAGCACGCAGTCATGCCCGCTCGCCCACCCCCACACACACACGCACGCACGTACGTATGCGCCAGCGAAGGCCTCTCACAGTGACTTGAGGGCTTTAAACTTAGTGAAGTCCCCGCTCAATGGCCCCAACAACTGATTCCTCTGCAGGTTTCTGGCGAAAAGAATGAGGAGAAGGCGGGGGAAAGCAGAACAGGGGAGCAGAGCAACATACCAAGCAGGTGTGAGAGCAGGTGGTACTACTGGTTATATTGGAGCTACTTTTGAGAAACCAATGTAGGCACCACAAGTGAACTCTCGAGCAGATTCGAAGGCACTAGTGAAGCAGCAGCGATAAGGAGCAGCAGCAGTGATAGGAGGCAAGGAAGCCTTCCAGTCCAAAGCAGGACTGCCCGTCCCGTCAGGGAGTTCGAAGTCCCAAAAACAAAACCGTGAGCAAGAAAAGACCGAGGGCAAGAGCATTTCGGGCATGGGATCAAAGCCAAGCTAACCAAGAAAACATGTATCAGCGCATGATGCAAGCAAGCAAGCACCATCAGAGGCCGTGGTGGTGGTGGGGCATGGCATGAGAGCCATCATGTGTCAACACAGAACCGTACGTACATCTCCTGGAGGTAGCTAGTGCTGCCGAATTCCGTTGACACAGCCCCTTCGAATTTATTGTAACCCAGATTGCTGCAGGCACGCAAAGGCAAAGGAAGGCCACGCCACAGACAGTGCTGCTGCTCAGTAGGCAAGGCAAGCTCGTACAAGGTTGCATGACCTTAGCTTCGTGACTGGACAGGACAGCCAGCCTGTTGTGAGGCTGGGTTAGCTGCCAGCCACGCCATCCCACACAGGCTGACCCTGACCCAGCCACGGTCCGTCAGCCTGCGTACTTAAATGAATTGCGGGCCGGCTCGACCAGAGCATGGCTCACAAAAAATCATGGGCCTTATTCTTTTTGGAATGATGTGTGAATCATAAGAAGAAAACTTGTTCGATTGAACTTGGAGTGAAATGATATTATGTCTCAGGGAAGCGCCTGACACAATACTAGACAAAGGGTGAAACCAAGAGAGCCCAGGCCTGACCCGGCCTGTCTTGCGCCATGCGTGGCTCGTCATGGGTGAGGGAGTAGGAGTAGGTATGGCAGGTAGGCAGGTAGGCAGGCAGTGCACGAAGAGGGTAGACAGTGGGGATGAGCGGCGAGCAGGGGGAGCACGGCTCACATGGTTGTCAAGAGGGTGAGAGTGGTGAGCAGCGGTAGCATGCCCGTGAAGTTGTTGTGAGAAAGATCTCTGCCACACAGACAGCAAAACGGAGTTGAAAGACTCGGCAGCAATCCTTCCTAGGGTTACGGCTCACCACAACTATCCTGCACGCAGAAATATGCTGCACTCGCTAAACAAGGATCAGCCACCGTTGTTCGGTTGCATCAACGAACAAATGAACCAAACAGCCAGCCGGCCAAGCAGCCAGTCAGCCAGCCAGTTACTGTAGATTGCTACTCTAGCTTGGAGCTGAAACAAGGTCCTCTGAAATACATGGCTACAGCGCAACAGAAGGGCAGCAGGGGAGAGCATGGCGCATCAGAGCAAGCGGAGGAGGAGGAGGAGGAGGAGGAGGAGGAGGAGGAGGAGGAGGAGGAGGAGGAGGAGGAGGAGGAGGAGGAGGACTGACAGGTGCTGGAGAGATGTGAGGGCAACGTAGGCCTGAAGGAAGTCGCCTGAGATGCTGTTGCGACTCAGGTCCCTGTGATGGCGGGGGTCAGGGGGGAAACCAAGTGACAGTCCGGAAGGGTGTGAGGGTGGGATGGTGCGAGGTGGGAGGGTGCGATGCGAGGGTGGGCGGATGCGAGGGCGGGTGCGTAGGTGGTGGTGGGGGAGTGTTGTGGATGGTGCTTGAGAGCCAAAGATCCTGAGCCATTATTTCAGGTGCACATCAGTCCTGAGCCATTCTTTCAGGAGCACATCAATCCTGAGCCATCCCTTCAGGAGCACATCAGTCCTGAGCCATTCCTTGAGGAGCACATCAGTTCTGAGCCAAAGATCCCGAGCCATCCCTTCATCAGCACATCAGTGCTGGCGCACAGACAGCATGGGACTTGACTAGGTGTGCGGCCAGAAGTAGACACAGCAGGCACAGAGCACAGCACAGCATGGGCTGGTTGGGATGAATGAATGTGGTGGTAGCCCATTCGGCTTAGACAAGCATGGTGGTAACTGGTCTAATCTGACCATGGCTGAATGCGGACTGGCAGTCAAAAACCACGCAGAGTGCAGCAGGACATGCTTACCAACAAGTGCGTGCATGCACTTCGGGCAGAAACCATACAACATTGGATTGGCGCCACTTCTGGTATGGTCTGAGAAATCTCCAATGTTGCAAGGACGGTGTCAGTGAGTCCTAATTTCAATGGTCAGTGTTTGAGGCTCCTACTTCTGGGCTGGAGGAGAGGAGGAAAGAAAGATCTCATGGAGAAATCTTACGACGGGGAGATCTTACAAGTGGCGCAGGGCTGTGAGTGAGGTGACAATGTCTGGGTACGCAGTGATTCTGTTGCCACTGACATCCCTGCCACAAACACGCACGCACACACGCACGCACGCAGAGTGTTGTGCCAACAGCACCAGCACACATTTGCCACGACGCCACGTGCATTGCATGCGGACACATGGAAACAGCACGCGAGCAACAGCAACAGTTCTCAAGTGGTCCCTCTCAAGCGTGCACGCACGCACTCACACATCCATGTAGGTTGAGCAAGAATTCGAACCCATGTTCGGTTTGACTCAAATTTGCTTAGAGAGAGCATGCTCAAGTGTTCAGGGTTGGATTGACTTCCCCAACAGCACTCATGGTTTTGCAAAGACAAAGAGGGGGTGATGAGCTTGACAATTTACACAGCCCCGTATGTGAATAACAAAATCAAGGCTCAAACCGAACACGTTTGGGTTCGGGTCGACCAGTTACCTGTTCGAATGGCATGGCACACCACACGCAAATGTTCACAAACAGTGGAGTCCAGTTGACGTCCAACTCGAACAGTTGAACACTATTCTTGCAAAGACTCTCGAACCGAACACGTTCTAAGCGAGTAAAAAAGATGTTTGAAACTGTTCAAGGCCAACAGCACAGCTTCGAGCTCGCCTTTTGCGAGTGTCTTGTCTACATCTATGCACATGTGTGCAAGAGAAGGTGAGTGAGCCGACAAAGGGAGCTTGCTGCATGGACATAGCAGATCAATGCAGGTGTGTGCGCAGCGCACGTGCCAGTCTTGAGAATTCTCAAGCGCGTGCACACACTTGCGCCTATGTGTGAGCATCTGTGCATATGCACGCATGTAAGGTAATCCACCGGACACTTACAGGTGTTGCAAGGAGGGGGAAAATGCGGAAACAATGGGCGGAACCTCTGTGAGCTTGTTGTTGCCCATCTTGCTGCGTGCAGTGAAAAAGAGTCGAGCGTGTTGTGTCAGCGCATGAAGGGATGGGTAAGCACTGTGAATGTGATGTGATGCATGCACGTGAATATGATGAAAACATGGAAAACACTCGGAAAAGGGACATGGAAGAGGCATGAAGACATGGAGAAAGCAAAATATACGCATGTCACTCACAGAGCCTTGAGCTGGCCAACATTGGGTGGAATGGCTTGTGAGGTGATACCGACAAAGCCATTGCCATTCACGTTGCTGGCAGGAAACA